GGGGGCTTCTAATGTGAAAGTGGGGGACTCTGATCTGAAAGGGGCTCCTGGTGTGAAGGGGAGACTTCACATTGTCTTTTTGTTGTTGTTGTTTTGCTTGGGGTCTCTGTTTCACCCTTTCATGCTTTTTTTCAGTTTCTGTTCATTAATGACTGACACACTTTTTACAATTTTGCTGTGTGATTCTTCCACGGCAGTAATATAATTTCTTACTAAATGTAATTGATAATGTGTGACCTGGACCTGGGCAGTATGTGCCACACCCCTGAGGTAAGTATCAAAAAAAGGAAAGGAAAGCTGGGGTTTTTTAGGCATCAATTGACAACTTTCAAAACGGTGGGTTCTAAAAATATATTTATTGATGTAGAATTGTTAAAAGCGGAGTAATTACATCAAACCAACCTAATTTGATAACTCCCTGGAAGCTCACTCCATTACTGTGCTGTCCCTTATGTGTGAATAACATGATTTGAATCACAGTACAAGATATACAAAAACATGATTGAGTAGCAAAGATAACATGATCAAATATCATATGATTTCAAAACATGATTGGAAAATTAATTGATTGAATTCGAACACATGATCAAGGATTTAACAATAAGGGTGGCTGACAGCGGAGGAGCACAATTTGTCTCGACGGTTCGCGCTTGACGGTGCTTTTTCAAGAGGAGGAAGTTATCGATAAAATCGATATGTGTGCATCCCTGCGGCACCGTCCAGGCGCAGCACCTGAACCATGCCCTCCAGAGCAGACCAGGGGAAGAGAGGCTGAGACCAAAAGTCCCACTTTAGGCAGCAAAAGGTGAGGGGTATATCGTGTCAAAATAAACAATTGGATGGATAAGGATCCTTGCCTGATAATTCCTCCTTGGTGAACCGAGGAGCATCCGTTGTCCTTTCACCTTCGAGCCCCCAGCGTGCTGTATGGCCGCCCTGGGCTCCACACTTACTAAATGTACCCACACATATATGGTTTTTTAGAGGACAGATCTCAATGGATTCTCTAAAAGCTAATAGTGGTTAGGTTAGTGGCATACAATGTCACTGTCACTAAGTGGCACACTTAGTGACAGCGACATACTTTGAACATTGCCGCCATGAGGGGGTTAAATAAAAAAATTAACCCCTTAGGGTGAAAAAAATCTGCAGCTCAGCTGCAGATTTTCATTGTAAAGGGTTGATTTGTCTAATACTTATAGTATAAAAATATATATATTTTTATTGTTTTAAATTCATTTTTATTTTTTTACATTTGTATGTTCAGCTGTCAAACAGTGATAGTGAGTGCGGTAAATACCACACAGCTATTACTGTGAGATACCCAATCACTACAAGCGATCAGGTATCTGTCAGAGCTTAATTCTTTCTTTAATGGATGCCTCAATACTTGCTTTTGACAGATCCAAATAGCTGATCACGTACAGTGTACATGATCGGTCATTTGGGCACTTTGTGGAGGGGACGTACAGTGAATGTTTCCCATCACAAAAGGTTTAAAATCCATACCAGACTCTGTCTAAATAAAGAGTTTGATAATTTTGGTGGGGGGGGGGGGCCCCCCACTCTTTTTTTTTTTTATTTTCATTTTTTTAATTTTTTT